TGTCCAACTAAAAGGAGAGGTGGAATTTTGTACTGAAGATGTGTTTTAACCGTGTAATATTCAACCCACAGAATGTAAGTAATTTCTCAATGGTAACCAGCTAGTTAGTGGAGAAGTCAGGCTAGACAGCAGCAAGTCATCTGGAATTGCAGTCTTTTGTTCTCTACCATTTAACTCTGCCTTCGATGAAAGGTAAAAGGACATGACATTTTATCTCGAATGAAGGAAAGAATGAATGTGTTAGAAAAGCCAAATTTAATTAAATGTGTATGTATTTTTATTGTTAAACATTACAAAAAGTTAATACAACTGATTTCGGGTGACCTTCCAGTCTAGTTTAGCTTTGCTTGTCTCAAAAGATTGATAGCAGCCATGTCTGGTTTCTTGTAGATCTTTTATTTATAAATTGGAAAACAGGCTGGTATCCTATTCAAAACTGATTTGTAGTTACTGTTAGAAGTTGATTATTGATTGGTCCCCCCAATACTGCCTAAAGGAATTTGCAATCCCAGTAAATTCAAAAGAACGATATATAACCTGAAAAAACCATCAATAAATTCTGGTTATGAAAAAGCCACAATTGAACACAAAGTTTAGTTCTGAACTCATAGCAACCAGGCAAACAACACACTAATTCATTCAATTGCCTGGGAAGCCCAAACACAGACACAGAATCTCCCAGCTCGTGGTCCAAGAGGAATTTGAACCAGGTGAGACCGACAGAAGTGTCATCGGTGCCCCAGTGCTGAAAAGCCTTCAACCCAGAAGGCATTGGGGTCATTTCCCAGCTGTACCAGTTGTTACTTCACAGTCAGGCAGATTCTAAATCTCTCTGTTTCCTCATCTATTAAAAGTGTACAGTAATAATAGAATTTACATTACAAGTTTTTTAAATTAAATAAGGATTAAATGAGCCAATATTTTAACTGATCAAATCAAGGCTGAGAAGAGCCTTGTACCCTAGTTCGGGCTATATGGTGTTTCTTTAATAAATTAAGCAACCTGATATTCTGAAAAGCAGTTTTGCAGAAGACATTCTTAAATCAGTGTGATTGCAGTTGAACAGATGATGGTTGTAGTGTCATAAAAAAACATATTCTCTCCCACGTGGATTGGAATATCCATTTCTCATGCATGGTCTCCAAAATGTAATCCCCCTATTACACTAAGTCAGATTCAGATTTTTTTCATACAGATCTCAGCCAACTGTAAACTGGCGTATCAGTGTCATTGCCCAGAAAGCCCCCCATGGCGACCAATCTCGACTTCACCCACCCTCACCCAGGGGCTCGAGGCTTACAGTAGTCTGCAAATGAAGATGCGACTCCCAAAGACTAAAAACTGCCCAGTTGTTTGTTCATCTTCATTGAAAGTCTTTAAAATGAAGTCAAAGATACAAAAAAACCTGTTTATAGACAACAACCTTTGTGTATGAAAAGACAACATATTCTATCACCGTTATAAGCAGTTTTAGTTCTGCTGAATCATTAAACCACATTTTATAATATTGGTGCCCCTGAACTATATTGCTACCATATGTTGTAAATACATGCTTTGTAATTCGATTTAGGTTAGCTTGCTTAGTGTCTACTATCTACGTCAATACTGTTTTCATTTAGCTCACAGTAAGATATGTTTCTATGCATATGTATCTTATGTGCCTTACCACCTTAGAGCAGTTTTAGAGAAAGACTGGGGCCTCATCTTTTATGATAGTCTCATTCCTTAACACAGTGATTTACACAGATTTAGTACTATCTTTGTTAATAAAAATTATCATGGAGATGGAATCCTTCATCAATAAAGTGGCACAAAATATCCCAATTCTCTTTAGTCATTCGTTCATTAGAAAGCCATTTATTTAATGCTTTTTCCTTTCTTTTTTTTTTGTTTTCTAGTATCTATGTTATTTTTTTAGTTTAGACCTTCACACTTTTTTTAATAATAAATTTTATTTAGTTACTTTTCAAGTACATTTTTTTATCTATTTCTCCCATCCCACCCCCCGCCCTGTCTCCCCCCTCCCTCCAATTCCCCCCCCAGTCCTCATCTCTGTGTCTTTCATACTTGTTCCTCAAAATCCCTCCCCCTTTTTCCCCCTTAAATTCCCTTCCCTCTCCCCTCTGGTCGCTGCCCACTTGTTCTCTATTTCAGTGTCTTTGTTTTTATTCTGTTTGCTTGTTTGTTTTATTCTTTAGCTTCCTGTCAAAGGTGAGATCATATGGTATTTGTCCTTCAATGCCTGGCCTATTTCACTCAGCATAATGCTTTCCAGTTCCATCCATGTTGTTGCAAAGGGTAGTAGCTCCTTCTTTCTCTCTGCTGCATAGAATTCCATTGTGTATATGTACCACAATATTTTGATCCATTTGTTTACTGATGGGCACCTAGGTTGCTTCCAGCTCTTGGCTATTGTAAATTGTGCTGCTATGAACATTGTGGTGCATAGGTTCTATGAAATTGATGTTTTAGGATGCTTGGGGTATAATCCTAGCAGTGGAATTGCTGGGTCAAAAGGCAGGTCCATTTTTATTTTTCTGAGAAAATTCCATACTGTTTTCCATAATGGTTGTACCAGTCTGCAATCCCACCAACAGTGAACTAATAGACCTTCACGCTTTGTCTAAATCAACTAAGCTATTATTGTCTTTTGCATTTACTAAACAAACATTTCTTTGGTTTCTCCTAAATCTTTGTAGTGTTTATAAAAACCCTGTCTTTTAAGTGTATTCATTTCTCTTTTTTAGAAAGCATATTATCATAGCACTTCAGTTCTCACTATGTACTTCAAACATTGGTGTTCATTCATAGTACTCTATTTACATTGTGTACTTTAAAAAGTGAGCTTATGTCTTAAAATAGTATTGACTTCCATATGATCACAGAACTAAAACTAGAATTAAAGTCTATCTCAGAAATACCTGTTACTTACTCTCATTTTTTTAAACTCAGGCTAGAGAACTTAATGAACTTTTAATTTTTACTCTTCTATTTTTATTTGTTTGCATTTCTCAATGAAACTGACAATTCAATTTTCATTTGAATGAAAACCAATAATTGGGTTGGACATTAAATTGAAAGTAAAATTAAATATAAATACTACCAGTCAATAGTAATGTAGAACTCTAGCCTGATGTATCCTAGTCTCATCTTTTATATTTTCATTTAAAAGAGCGTTCAACAGTAGATTTCTTTAGAAGCAATACATTTTAGGGATTGTCAGAGTTGTTATTTTACCTCTTTTCCACTCAGTTCATATATTTCATTTAGCTATATAAAAATCCTAAATTTTTATTGTCAAACCTGTTTTGCAAGTTGGATTTTTTTACCTCAGGGATTGAGAACTTTATTATAATTAATTTCATTGTCATTTAAACTTTGATAAATTCTAAGAAATATTTTAGCTTTTAGCGAATCATATTTGAGAATCAGAAGAATTATCTTAGGAAGGTATCGACAAATGATCATCAAGGTATAGGAATAAATGTAAAGTGATGTAATGAAAGCATTGTAATATATCATATTTTGACACAACCCATTCATTTGATATATTGTTTATCCTATCCATGCATTTCAGGAGGTCATAGTCATAAACTTTGAATATCCTTATAAAAAATCTCTTATAATTGAAGTAGAATTAATTGCAATGTGAAGTAATAAAATTGTAAAAAATATTATAGCTTGAAGATTATTGTTACTGAGCTTTGATTCTTTACTACAAATTGATGGGTTGCTACCCAAGTCCAAGGAAAGAATAATGTGTGTTTTATAAAAACTCTCCAATGTATCCAGTAATAAAAGCCAAAAGATCTTTTCCATAGAATTAATAAATTATTGCTTAGATTTATTTTTAACAAAGCAAATTTATCAAACCTTATCTAGCTAAGTACAATCCTAACAATAGGGGAAAATCAGAATCTCTCTCGTTACCTGCTTCTATAATTGTGCATGCATAAAGTATGCTTGGAGCCTTTGAAAAGGGGGCTCGTACAACCTGAATACTAATTTTGTGAATATTGTAATTTCACGTCTGCTATCCATGTGCAAGCTGGTTGTGCTTTGAGCAGCAGCTGAGACTTTATGGAAAACTTTGTAAAACATTCTATTTAGAAGCAATTCTTTTTCTTTGCATTATGTGCTCTGGGTATTTTTTTTCCTTTGTGTTTTATTTTGAGAACATTTGTATGAAAACAAGATCTTTGTTTCTTACAAGCACATCTGCTCTTGCTTCTTGTAGATTATGAAAGTCTTACAAGCACATCTGCTCTTGCTTCTTATAGATTATAAGAAGTCACCATCCTCTGTGACATCATAATCATTTCCATGGCAACCAACTGAAAATATAATGAAAAAGTTACAGTATGTAGAGAGGAAATTGGAGACAACTGTAATAGAACAATTTTTTTTAATCCTGAAAAAAAAGTTGCAGAATCTAAGTAGCAGCAAAGTGTTTATCTCAAAACAGATACCTAATAACTTCCCAGTCTTTTGCACCTACTGCATAGGGTACGTTCCTGTGAAAGCACCGAATCTCTAGCCCCATGCCTTTAATTCCCTTGAAGTCAATAAGCCCATCAGTTCCAATTATCCGCAATTTAGGGAAAGACCAGAATTCTTGAGGAAACAAATTCCGAGTGACCAACCTTATGGTCCCTCCATGCTCTGTCACATAGCTTGTCTAGTGTAAGTTCAATGAGAGAAGAAATGTTTGAGACCTTGGTGTTTTACGTTTTACAGTAAATAATGATACAGATTTGACTAACAGCTGAAAGGACCCCGAATCCCTCCACTTGAAACGATTTCCTGAGCGGGCATACGTTCACTCGGCCAAGTCACTGCTGTCAAAACCGTGGTGAAATGTGGCGGTAAGAGACCTCAGAACATAATCATGTGGGGAACGAGCCAAGGCTGCTAAAGAGAACTGGAATTAGGAACAGACTTTGTGGCATGTTCTACTACATCAGTAGTTGTCAAAATTATGAAGGCTTAGTCACAGTAACTGAACAACCCATAGGGAAATATTTATTGAGCACTTGTCATGCATAGCACGGTGTTGGGGACTGGGTGTGATATCGGGAATACACACACAATTCCTAGCCTCCCCAAGCCCTTCTCTGAGGTTAGTGGCTAATTATTGGCATCACTTTTTCTTTCAGCACTAAAATATTTTTTAAATCATTTCTCCTTGTTTTTAAAGAGTTTTATTTTTATTTCATAAAGGGTGCGTGTTTGATATGAGCCATACTAGCTTAGGAGCTGAGCCTGAATACTAAGGAAATTTGGAGCGAGAAGGCTCAGAGACAGCGCCCTCTGGGCACACTTGGATTCACATTCACTGCTAAGATATGTGATCTTGGACCTGGGTATGAAACAAGGGTCAGTTATATGGGTTGCCAACACACTAGATGGTGAATTGAAGATAGATGAGGAATGAAAAGAGGGGCGCAAGTACTAAGAACAAAGCATCTAAATTAAGGGGAGAAAGGCAACGGTATCTGTCTCAGCAGAGACGGGGAAGCTGTTGAGCAAAGGTCGGAATGGCAGGCAAGTCTCTGCAGGGGGGAGCATGATAGGGTGGGGATCTCACTGTGTAAATCAGGGACCCAGTCACACAACTCAGATATGGGACAGCCACTCGTGCAGTATCAGGGGACGAGGCAGGAAGCAACAGGGGAGGGTCCAAAGTGTTAAACGTCCCATGGTTGAGCACAGTTCGTGCATCTGTGCATGTGTGTATTCATGTATTCCCTCACTCAGTGCTAAACACTCTGTTAGACACAAGGATTAAGAAAACTAAAAAGTTGACCTTATGAGGCACATTACACTGGGTAAACCAATGAAGAATTAATTCAGCTAGTAGACGTATAATTCAAATGTGTACAAGTGTGATAATGGAAATAAACAAGGTGTCCTGATAAGGACAAAAGGAGTGGGAGGGTGGAGAGGTGCTCCGTAGGTATCACTGAAGACATAACATTGATTTACCTTTTAATCTTTTTCACTCCACCCTTCACCCCCAACCAACTACTGTGGCCCACAAACTTTAAAACTATAGCTGTTTAACATACACAACCCTGGTCAGCCTTATGCCCAGGTTCTATAATCAACCAGTGTGCTCACTGCACCCAGTGGTTTCTACCAACAAAATCTCCTTTACATCCTTGAATTATCCTGTATATCCGTCCAGTCTCCAAGATCAGCTGACGTCCTTAGCTTGATTTGTCTCATCACGTAAGCCTTCATGATGATTGGGTCTGAGTTAGAAGTAGCTTATTTTGAGGGTAGAAGTTTCTTCTATTTGGAAGAGGCTAACATTTGTAATAAAGAAGCCCACACATCACATGGGGAGTGTGTCTGTTGTTTAAAATATTTGGTGAGGTTCAAGACCTCTCTGAACTTGCTCAGTCATCACTTTGGGAGACTGGAGTCCGCTGCTGGCTTCTCCAAATCCGCCTGCAGACAAGGGAAGGAAGAGAGAGAGCATGATGGGGGAAGTTTTTATTGGCCAGGAGCAGAACTGCTGGACATCCCTTCTGCCCACATTCCACTGGACAGACCTCAGTCACATGGCATACCAAACTAAGAGGAAGTGTGGGGGATACCGTCTAACATATTTCCCCCCTGGTTTTGGTGAGCAAAATAACATATCTTTTATTTACCCCAAACTCCATTTCACTCTTTTGCCCCCACAAAGAACTTATCCTTTCCCCACGGGAGATCACCCAAGGCCCCATCCCCATCACAGAATCTAGCTAAAAAAGTCCAGGGTCCCCAGGCCCATGTCCACTGTGGCCCTCTCAGGTCCAGTCAGGACCAGCTTCGGGGGTGTGGAACTTGTGCAGTTGCACAGGTTCCCACACTCAGATAGCCCCCTACAAATGTTTTAATGCTGTGATCTCTCTGTTATGAAATTACTAATCACTTCATCTTCAAGTTTGTGCTTTGTCAGTGAAGTCCAATGGGATAATGGAGCACTCGCCCGAGCAGAGCAGGTCTGCTCAACACCTGTGTCTGCCATTTCTTGCTACCCTGTTTGCATAAGCACAGATTCCAGTGGATTTCTGATGCTTGGGAGTTTAGTGATACTCAGTGTGTGTGCAAGGTAAGTATGCTGTATGTAGGATTGAGTAAGCAGGGCACCAACGGCCTGGAAAAGTCAGGCTTTCCATTTGAACCAAAAACTGCTTCAAACACAGAAAGAAGATAATGGTGTTCTAAGAAACACAAAAGACCAAGCAACTGTATTATACCCTTTTTTCTTGTGCTCTCTTTCCCTGGATTAGCCAACCATTTACACTGAAATGATGTCATACAAGGAAGAGGAGAGATAGAGCAAGTACGGGTCCTTCCTTCATTCCATCCTGTACTCATCTGTCAACCAAAGGTAGAGAGGACTGAAGAATGCACACACACTGAGAAGCAAAATAAAAACAGTCAAATTAGTTCTATGCCACATTTCCACTGTTCTGGGAGAACAGGTGCATGTTCAAGTGACGGAATAAGAATGGTATAATTTCAGTAGTTCCACATCTGACTTAACTGTTGTTGTATTCCCATTTAAAACTGGCAATGCACAACAGAAACATAAATAATAAAAATAAATATTTACTTAGGATGATATTAAGTAGCAAACATAAAGTACAATGGTAAGTCAAACATACTGTAAAAAAAGCTACTGCTTTATATTTTAGTGCTTTAATGGGAAGTTTTTCCTACTTATTGAACAAAGGGCCCCACATTTTCATTTTGCACTGGCTCCCACAAATTAAGCTCCCAGCTTTCCCTGGGTCTGGTACTCTATGTTCTTTCTTCAAGATTACCACAATAAAAGCTTCCAATTAGAAGAGGAAATAATAAAATACACATAGCAGTCAATGACCCATAGATATTATTAAATCCTTCTGGGTAGATACTGTGAAGGGTAACCAGTGAAGATGTAGACAATTTCTTGCTCTGTCTCCGATTCTTCTTTCCGTGGTTCTTGGCTCCTCTCCCTGGACTTCTTAACCATCATCCCCCGAGGAAATACAGAATGATTGTTGAGAAGTGTTCTCTCCTTGTGGATTCTGCTGCATCCTTATCTCCCTGTCCACGGGGAGTCACAGCCCTCACCCCCTTTTCTTAGCCCTGGTTTAAGGTTCCTTTGGCACTACTATTTCTTTCATAACAATGTTTAAGTTCCTGATCTATTTACTTTCTGTTAGTTCCAGGTGCCAAGGCTTTAAAATGGTTATTAAATTTGCCTTATTTTTTGTGTCCTCATCCCCATGGTTTCCCTCCAAGTGAACCACAGCAACCTTGAGGCGATATGGAACAATATAAGGTGGAAAAATACCTCTCTTGACCTGGTGTTTACTGAAGGACTGAGCTGTTCCAGAAATCTCACTGGCCCTTTTGTCATTCTGAGCGATTTTTCATTTCAGGTCCCACAGCTGTCAACTTTTCAACCAGGGAAAGCCCTTGACCCCTGAACTTTCTATTGTTGCCAGTTTCTGCTTGAAAATCTGCCCCAACTCACCTGAGTGTATGTCTTTCTTCCTGAAGCAGTGGCCGGTGCACGACTGCTCTCACAGTTGCCCCTACTTCCCCAGCCCTCCAGGCTCAGGGGATACGTGCTCTGCCTCCCAGGTTCCCCCAGGACAGCGTGGTGAACATCTGCTGCAGTACACGGACATCCCCCAACGTCCAGCCCGCTCTGTTGTATTTGCCCCTCTGCTGGCCAGTCACTGAGCCAATGCCACTGGTTTCTGGATTTTGTTACAAAAGCAGGTCATGTCTAAATACCTATTATTCTACTTATCGAGAAGGACAGCTGCTGTAACCAAACACTAAAACCTCAGTGCCTTCATGTACTAAGACGTGCCTTTATTTACATAATACATTACTGTGGGTTTACGTTGAGAGGCATACCACCCAGTGGTTAAGAGAGCCAGCCAGGTTCCTTTCATCTTAATTATGTTATTTTGTACTGCCAAAACTTATATTTTTGAAAATCTTGGTTTAAAATTTTTTGTTGAAGCAATTAAAAGGTCTGTTTAGAAGTGTTTGGTTTATTTGAATACTCATATTTGGTAGCTGCCATAGTTGAAAAAGGCCCCTCCCAACTACAGGTGGAATCAAATGGAAGAAACATGTATTTGCCTGTAGTAAATAAAAATATATTCAATTTTCAATCCTGTCATAAATCTACATGGAAATGTAGTTTGAATTTTATTCATAAATTTAAATTTTCCCTGATGTCATGTAGTAGTTTTTCAAAGTAATCAAAAGATTGACCATTTCATTTCTGACAAATGCACTTCAAACTCACTAAAATATTTTTAAGCATGTCAGAAAATTATGTTTTTAAATGTTCTAGATATCATCATATGTGAGGTGTTTTTTAAGATTACAGTTACTTACACTGTCTCAGTTATAAAATAGGTATGCAATAGAAATCTTCCTTTTCAAACTGTGGCTTCCATACCATGAGGTTCTTTCTAAAAGCAACTATTATTTCTCTCATTGCTAAAAAATTACCTCTACCCTAAAGAGATTGATTATTTACAGTTTTGCTGTCATCCATTAGGCAGGACAGCCACTAGTTATCACAGAAAAATATGACCAACCAGAAGCTGACCTTCAGCGGTGCCCTTGGGTGCAGCACATTGAGATCAGCTGACCAGGGGGCAGGGGACAGTTACAAGGGTTGAAAACCAGATCTGGAGGAGCCAGGGGAAGATACTTGACGCACCCATAAAACCACTTACTCACCCACACACGGAAAGTGAATGAATGAATGAGAGGACATTGCCAAGCCCTCTAGTCGTCAGCTCCTATATGTCTCTCAGAAAATTTCCTATAATCGTGTGGGATAAAAGTCTGTTAGAGTCTCTGATAGGGCCTCTTTTCTAAACAAAGAAATAAAATTAAATGTGACACAAGAAGACAAATTATTATTTTTATTACAGAAATTTAGTTCAGAGGATGCCATTTAATCTGAGAGCAAAATGGACCTGCCAATGGGCCCCAGAATTAGCAGACTCGCCCAGTGTGGGCTTTACTAGACTGGACAGACTGACAGCGTTGGCTGAGAGGGGTGGAGAGACCAAAAGTCTGGCTAAGAAAGTCCTTTCTAATAGAAGCGAAGTATGAGAAAACAATGTCCCCTTCTACGGAAATGATGTTTGACAAACAGATCTGATGAGGATGCCGGCATTGACCTATATATTAAATGTCAGTATATTTTAATGTATTTCTTTTTATTTTAAAAAAATATTTTATGTATTTTTATTTTTAGAGAGGAGGAAGGGAGTGTTAAAGAGACGGGAGAAGCACCACTGTGTGACAGATACATTGATTGGTTGCCTCTTGCAGGCCCCAGCTGGGGGCGGGGGGCCTGGCTCACAACACAGGTGTGTGCCCTGGCTGGGAATTGAACCAACAACCTTTCAATCCACAGACTGGCGCTCAATCCACGGAGCCACACCAGCCAGGTGACATACTTCTTTTTAGATCAAAATGCATATGAATACAAGTTCTAATGTTTCCTTACTTTCAACCCAAGAGATTTTTCTGTAGACCCCTTAGGGTACATATACTATACCACTTTTGACACCATTGGGCTAAAAAGTACACTGGTGGACCACTATTAAACTATTGGACTATAGGAGACCATTCTGCGTGGTATGGGCCCAGACAGGACCCAGACCCACGGATAGATTTTCCTGTGGGGAATCAGGCCTGCATTGTACCTAGGCTGCTTTGAGACTTGCTTTTTGCTAAAACTCCCTCACCCTGAATTGAGGCAGCAAATATTTACTGCATATCTTTAAAGTAACTTCCTAAAATCTATGCTAAACCTTCCAAGGATGAGTGTAACCAGTTCAACCATTTTTCCCTTTGCATTTGCAAATATCCTTCTTCTCTGATGTGATGAGCGGCACCCTCTCCTTTGTTTTCTATAAAAGGTAACCACCTAAAGTGAACCTCTGCACAGTCAATGAAGACCATCATGTAATGTGTCCTGAAAAAGCAATAAAAGTTTGTTAAGGCCAGAGTTGGGTACTCTCCTCTTGAGAAGGTGGTGAAGTGCTCCGAGGCTTTTTCTCCTCTTGCGAGAGAAGCCACATGGTCCCTTTTCCTCCACAGGACTTGGTAGTGAATTTCTCGTGCCTCATCCACAATGTGGCAGACCCCATCAGCTGGGGTCCATGTCATTGGACCTAGATAGCAAGGTTAGTCTTAGCTTGGTTCCTGCTAAATAACCTGGCTGAAGGCAGGAAGAATTTCATAGCTCGTGTTTAGTTTTCCTTAAAACTATGTTGACTCTCTCCAAAGTGTACCAGATCAGCTTGGCCCATTCCCCTCCCAGTCAAACTGTGCTTTCATCTTCCACTGAACATGCTCTCTGGGTCTTTGTGGGTAGCTCATCATCCACCTGTCATCAGCGCTAAGCTGAGTGGTATTGACAGTCTGTCAGCCTCAGAGTCATTTGCGAAGGCCAACACGTTATGTCCAGGTACTTAGGTCTTTTCTTGATATAGTGTGAAGGTTAGAAAGGTTTTTGTTTTTTTATCTGCTTAATCCTCAGCAAATCAGGCAAGAGATTTTAGAAAGAAATGGAAGGAACATTGTATGGTGTCATTTATATGATAAACAGGATTTCATGTTTGTATCCAAAGGCTTCATAGTACAGAGAGGACCTCAAGCAATAGAAAGTCTAGACTGAGAAGCTAAATAATATCCACAGGCTCTTCTATCTTTTTTTCCCCAGAAATCATTTTCAAAATAAACTTTTTGATTTTGGAATAGTTTTAGGTTTATGGAAACATAGTTGTAAAGATAGTGTAAATGGATGTAGAATTTGCACTCAGTTTCAAACATATTTTTAAAATATTTTGTTTGTTTGTTTATCTGGTTGTATTAATTTGCTTTTAAATTTTTTTAGATTATGTGCATTTAATGTTACTTTAACAGCTCTTGAAAACTATTCCAAGATTTGTGTAAAAAGATACCACTTTCATATTCCAGGACTTTTAGTTAGAATAAGAATTCCACTTAATTGTAATAATTCAGATGTCTATTAGGCCTTTGGCCTTCTTAACTAGATTTAGGAGCGTTTAAAACTTCCCCTCTGGGCAAATATTTTAGGAGTTGATGAGCATTCAGCTTCATTTAATGTACAGCTTGTCACTGATATCCCTCAGAGGCTGACAATTTCTATTTATTGCTAAATGAGAGTGAACCTGGGGTCCACTGGAGTTCCTTTTCAGCCCCAGAAGAAGAAAGGAGATACATCTTGAGGAATAGACCAATCTCTGAAAGGCTAAGAAAGTCAGCAGTTTTGGGGATGAGTTTGCAATAGCTTAAAAGCTTGCTGCCCAATAACCCAAAGAAGAGAATGAATGAACTCAAAGTGAAGACCTGAGACCACTCCTTTGCACTCAATGTCATACCTTTAGGACAATAGCTCCTTCGGGGCAGAGGTCCTAATTCCCACATAGAAATTGTGACTGGCATGTGGTTGGCACTCAATAAAGGAAACTTGGTGATTCCTACTCATCGTAAAGATTAGGAAGAGACAGCTGAACTGTCAACAGAAAAGAGATGCCTCAGGAGAGGGAACTTCATAATTTAGCTTCCTATTTTTAAACTTGTGGATTTTGCAGGAAAAAAAACATATGCAGTTCACAAACCAAAGTGAACAGTCCCTGCATAGAACAGGCAAACCATCTCTTATTAAAATCTAGAATGTCCATATGATGCAGCATGTTGTATAGTTGAAGAAGGACACTGGCTAAGGGGGGGATTCAACTAAAACGTCTTGTCAGTAGAGGTCAATAGTGAGATCACACGTGGGCATAAGAGTGAGCAATCATCCCACAAAGGATTCTCATTACCTAGGATGCCTTTGAAGCTACCTATATGAAGGGACAGAATTTGGTGTAAAAATGTTGTTCATTAGAGAATTCTCATTGTTTGTACATTATGAGACTTTAGGTTTTGGGAAGCTACTTCTTGAAAAACATGTAGATATTTCATGTAATAATTTATTGACATGCTTGGGGTCAGAGTGCAGTATTTTGCAGTTTCTAAGTAGCCACCTTGTCACATAAGAATTCCTTACAGTAATAGGTTCACTTTATGTTATAGATATCTGATAATAGTAATATTTAATATTTCTTGAGCAATGAATAAGTGCTCAGCAGAGTACTAAATACTTTGCTCTAGTTTTAAAATAGCTCCATAGGGTTAGTAGCATTACAATTTTCATTTTAATGATGAGGAACTGAGTCCTAGAGATAAGTTAAGAATCTTGCTCACCCTTACACATCTAACAAGCCAGATTCAAATCAGATTTTGTTGACTCCAGAGCCTGCAAGCTCGATCACTATGTTACATTCATTAAAAAACTGGATAAAATGACCCTGTGTGCTTTCTTCTCCCATTGCTTCCATATTCTGTCACTAAACAATGCAGTTTAAATAAAAGGTATATAGCCATACAATAGGAGCTCTGTACTGGGGTCTGCTGCCGTGGAACCAAGTTTTTCTTCATTTACTTCATGCAACAGTTCTATGTCCCACTTATATTATCAGCACTGTGTAGTGGATTCACATCAACAAACATAAGAGACATGAGGGCCCTGCCCTTAGGGGCCTTTTATACTTGAGAACAAGAGGCTACACATACATATGACAAATTAAATAATCATAAACTATATGATAACATTCCAACTGAGTGGTCAGAAAAATGCCATAAAGTCCAGAAGAAAGAGGGACCACTTTGCTCAAATGG